TATTTTTAAACAATGTTAATTTCACACAAAAGGAGAAGGACAGACTGCTGGTGTGTACACGGACACGTCTGCGCTGTGCAAATATATTCAATCCTCTTACTTTCAGTGAGTCTTTTCAACGCCATTATAAAATCTGACCATATAGTTTCTTACACAAGGCTTTAGCTGATCGTAAATTGTTTATTTCAGGTGTTGTATTTATTGAATGTTCAGTCCAAGTGCCAGCTTTTCGAACATTTCGGGCGGGCTCGTTGTCAAAGGGCAGTTCTCTGCCCTTGTTTCCACCTTTAACACAAAAGAATAACGGAGCCTTAATAGTAAGAAATCTTTACTAGAGTGCCTGCACTGCATTCATGCTCACCCAGTTACAGTTAAAGGCGTCTTCAACGTCCAGCGATTACATTGCCCACGAGGGTGAAACCTGGCGCACGACATGATGAAAGCCTTCAAAAACGTTGTTCTGTTAAGAATAATGAATTCTGTGAAACCCAATTTAAAGATTGCTTCACACCACCTCACTGGGTTTTAGGGCTTTACTTTTTGGCTAGAATTAAAAAGCCATCTTAAGAGATTAAACCAGAAGTGTGTCTGAACAGTGAGATGACGGGACATGAACAGAGGGTGGAAGGGACACCTGAGTGGTCTCTGTGTCAGTGTTGTGCGTCACCCAGGTACAACAGGGCAGGTGCAGTGTGCATTTCCTGTCACAATGAGAGGTCACGAGTCCTAAATGAAGAAACAGCAACTTAAACCAAAAATGGGAAAACTATGAGCATATAATTTGAGACCTACCCATGTTTCCATGTTTTTTAAAACAAAATACTGTATCTTTCTTTCTCCTGTATCAACAATGAAAAACCTCGTAGCAGGAACTGAAACAAAAAAGGAGAAAAGAGGCAGGCCAGCTCAAAGCTCTGGGCTGGAAGAGGGGTTGTGCATCTATTTGGGGCCCTGCTGGGTCTATTAAGGACACAGGAAGTCAGTGTTTTTGCTGTGGAGAGCGCTAGCTGCACAGGAAGTGACCTCAGAGAACTGGTTACCCCCTACAGCATGATAACTTTCTATGCTTTAACACGCTGGACTGACACTGACCCACATGCCTGCCAGACTTTCTCCAGTCCAGAACAGTTACCCTGCAGACACAGAGATACTAAAGTATTACATCAACAAAACGGTGAGCAAATATTACATGTCAAAGGCACAATGGGCTAAAAAATTAGAGCTTATTTACAAAATACTGGCAGCGTTGGTTGAAAACCAACAGTTGTGAATACAATAGTTATTTACAGAAATACTTATACAACTGAAGATCATCTTGGACACTATGATCAGGTGCCCTGAGCTCAAAAAGACTGAGCTAGTTTGGAGAAGCTGCATTTGGCAGCTCTGAGCAGCTTTTCTGTTACTATGCCTATGTTTTTCTAATATCGCCATAGATAATAACCCAAACGTCTTTTTCGGAAAGTCTTCGAAAAAAAGACAGACTAGACTTCTTCCTTTCCTTTGCGGCCCTGTCTGAATCAGGAGGGAGACAGAGGTACCTGGTGAGCGTCAGGACAAAGCATGAAACCCTTAGAAAGCTATGACCAATCAAACACATAACATACCACGTTTCTTAGCAAATGTGTTCTTTTCATCAGAGCCCTTCACATCATTTAACAGAAACTATGCCCATCACAACACCCAGAATCCATTAACAACGTAGTTAACAGTTGTTTTTGCGGCATGTTTAAAAGGGAGATCTGCTCTCAGTTGAATAAAAAGGTCCTTTTAGAAGGAGAACAGGGACTTGATACCAGAGCACATATCAACACCTCCCCCTGCAATATCCTAAACTCTCCATCACATGTCTTCTGAAGGACAGATTCTGTTTTGATTAGTGATAAAGCCTTAGGGCTGCCAGAGCAAGATTTTGATTTCGACTAGAGGACATGCAATTTTTTTACAAGGAGGTTCAGAGTTGACAGTATTTTATCAGAGTCCTGTTCATTATAGAGCTGCAGAGCAATCAGAACACAGCTGTTTCCATCCTAAGAGAGGGTTAAATTTCTCCTTCCCGGTTACTGTAGAAAGGGCTGAGACCATGCACTTGTTTACCAGCAATCATTACAACAGCACACAGACATGAGCTTAAGGGGCACTTTCACTCTGAGCCTGACATGCCACACGCTCGTGTCAGTATCCCATCCTCCACTGCAGCAGACAAACGTAATTACCTGATGTAATTCAGGTTATTTGTGGGTTATTAGTGGGATCTCTTCCCCCGTTATTTTACTTAAAGGGGAACCGCAACGCTATTTTTATTCCGGGGTTAGAAAGAATCGGCACTGACGAGTGAATTTCAAACCACGATGAAAGGAAAATCTACACAGTAACGTGCAAAACCTCCAATTTTTCCCATCACAAAATAGCCAAAACATCCAGGTCTGCGC